AATTATGCATGATGTTTTTATTGTCAAACTGAGTTAGTTTTGTTTGCAGGCGTTCAGCAGCCGTCAGATGTCATTTCCTTTCCTTCTGTTCTTCAAAGGGGCACTTTTTTTTAAAACTGTTTCCTGTATCTGAAAAGCTTTTCTTTAGCTCTAATGGTTCTGTTGTGGGTTTAATCAGACCTTAATAGAGAGGATTACAGCAAGAGCTTTATCTGAGCCAGAGATTTGTATTGTCGTTTTATAATCATATCATTCCGGTGCCAGTTCTCCGGCTGTTGTGCTGTGATGTAACAGATGTGTGCTTGCAAATAGACCAAACCACAGCATGTGGCAGCTCTGATTCGCTTTTTATTTATTTTTTATTTTTTGTACGTGGCACAATTTCTGCAGAGATGCACCGTTGTAAGAGTGACAGAAAGGAGAATAAAGAGTATCGGCTTTCTGATGTTTCTGAGGGCGTAAACATTCTGTCACAGTGGAGGACAGAGCTGTCACACCGCTGACAGACCCGTAGTTGTCGCCCCTAGCACCTAAACAGATTCAGGTTTTTTTTATCATTATTCACAGAAAATTCAACAATTTGCCAGGTCTGCTTTGCTGTCACAACTTTTATCCACAATTTCAACCTCAAAGAAAACAAAACACTGCTGTCAAGTTAAAAGTTGGAAGTAAAATACAGATGGTGCCTTGCAAAGCATTCATAGCTACAAAGTTGAACATATTTATCAAGGTTTTGAAGGGTTATGAAGAAAAATACAGGGAAAACATGGCGAAAAAACCTTTAGAGGCTAGTAAAGGCTGGAGAAGCACAGGGATACCCATCTTCTGGTGCCAAGAGCTACCATCCTGCAGCTTTTTGATACATCTTTCCATAAAATAACTGAACTCCTTCACTGCATTTTCAGCAGTGCAGAGGCCCATTCATCTGATTCTGGTGTTTTGGAGAGGGATGCATGTAAAATATGCCTGATAGTAGCTCATAAGGAGTAGAGATGGGTACCACCTGTTAGTACAAAACAATAACCACGTTTAAATCAGTGTGTTTTTAAAAAAATGATTCACAGACTCTTCCCATCCTGCTTGATTTAACTTGGACGGTTTTGCAGTGAAACCTAACAAAGTATTTAGTTTTGAAATGGCCAAAGTTGATAAAGATGCAGATGAGAGCGACTTCTAGAAATTAATAGGAATCAAGAAAGATTTTAATTTTACCAACACGTTTCTTTGAACTGCAGGTAACATTAAAGTTTTAAGGGTTTTACGCAGAAACCTAGAAGAATAGAGAAGCTGTATGAGTTTAAGATTGGGGTATAGCAAAGAGGCCTTCCGACCTATAAAGCCTATAAGCAAAGATTTCCTCCAAATACATAAAAATGGACTGTTATTATCGGAAGAGTTTATTTGCTGAATGCAATAAAAAAACTCTTTCACTGATTTTTGGATTTAATTTTGAACTTATAAGATGTCAGGATTTGGTTATTGAGTGCTGACCCAAAAGCAGAGGCAGAGAGGCAGAGGTGAATCTGTTGTGGATTTTATAAAGACTTAACAGAAAACAGAGGCTGGTTATCCAAAAAATCCAAAAGGAAAACAAAGTCCAAACAAACATGAAACCAAAAGTCCAAAAATCCAAAAACATTAAAACAATAATACTGTAACGTACCAGAAACCATGTGGACATCAGGGGAAATCACAAACATAACGAGGAAGGCACAGAGAGAAGGAGTTGGAGCATGTTAGACGGTGTTTGACGAGGACCCAGCAAAGGGGAACTGAAGAGAGAGGGCTTTTAAAGGAGACAGAGACAAAGAGGGGGCTAATGAGGAAACAGGGAGCAGGTGTACACAGAACAAGAGGGAAAGAGCTAGGGAAGAAGGAGAACACAAGAGGGTAGCAGAGAGCAACAAATAGAAACCTGGAAGACTGGAAATAACAACACAATGTTAAATTACTAGGACAATAAAACATGGAGAAAAGAAAACTAAACATTCGAAAGAAAACATAACAGAACCCTGACTAGGACAGTAACTGGAAAAAACCAAAGAACACAGAATATGAATACTATAACAGAAACCTGACATAAGAAAAACCAAATCTCTTGCTTTAAATGTTTTTATTTCCAATCTGAATTTTCCAAGGATAGCAATGATTCAGGGCTTAGCTTTACATAAACCAGATACTTTTTTTAAATATTTATTTGATTTGGGAAAACAAGTATGAATAATTTTCTTTCTCTATGACAAAACTGCATGACTTTAAAGCTGTATTTGAGATTCAAATCCAGCAGATTTACATTGGATGTTTTCCTGCAACACTGACAGAATGTGAAATGTTTTTCAAGGAATCGTGGATGTTAAAGACATTTTGCTTAACAGCTTCTAAAGGCTCTTTATCCGACATCCCAATAAGATGGAAGCATTACCAAAGGAGCAACACGATAGTTTTAAAATGGTGCAAACACAACAATCAGAATAAATCAGGATCCTTTTAAGAGATTTTTTTAATCCCGTAGTAAACAATCTTATGGATTTTGAAAAGGACAAAGGGAGTCATAGGCAGGACCAAGCTGTAATTAAAGGCTAACATGTAAAAGGGCAGTTTAAGGTAATATTAGAGCTTAATTATAGCAACTCAACAATCAATTAAATAGGTTTCCCACTGGGGGCTCCTCAGTCAGGCATGCAGACAGGTGGTGCTGTTTGGCCCTTATGTCCTTTCTTACTGAGAACTCATAATAGAATACATTTAATTTTTGCATAATTTGTAAACATTAAAACAAGGCCTCCATCTTAATAACCTCCAAATTATTGAAGCTCGTTTTAATTTGAACCAGAAACTGCCTTTGCTATTAAAAAAACAACAAAAAACATATCTTCAGTCTAAAAAAAAAAAAAAAAGCCAAGTTACTTAGTGGTATTTCCATATTTAAAACAAGAGGTAAACAGTTTTAGGTTGAATATTAGATACCAAAAATGCTGTTTATGATTTTGTTTTAGTTCATGAATTTAATAGTAAACACCAAATGAATAAAGGAATATGTTTTGAGAGAGATTAATATAAATGAATGATAATAATAAGAACATATATATCAATATATTTTTATATTTTTATATATAATCTCTGCATAAATGTTTAAAATAGGTTTGTTTTACATGTTAAATATACATTTTATTCACAAACAATTAAATTCTTCTTCTTTCACTCTTAATTTTAACTAATATAATTTAAGTTTAGTTTTTTGTCTAAACTTATTATCTACATTAATGAATATAATTTATTTATTTATTTTAATACGTTGGATATTATGGTTTACATTTTTATATAGATGAAAAATATACAGTGGATCAATGTAAAGGGAAAGCAAGCGTGTAACTTTTATCCACCAGGGGCGCTAGACCTCTAACTTCCAGGTTTAGATACTGTTGCCAGCTTAGCAACTTTAGTCTAAAAAAGGCACAACACATCAGGATACTTCTCATCCCGGACATTCTCTGTTTACACTGTTGCCTTCAGGCAGACGATACAGAGCAATTAAACCAAGAACCAACCGCCTTAGAGACAGTTTTTACCCGACAGTAATAACAAAACTAAATGCGACCAAAAATAACCAAATAATCATCATGGATGATGTGTGTGAGAATGTACTATTCTTATTAGTTGTTTTGTATGTTATTGTTATTTATTTCTTATATTATGAGTAAAAAGGTGGTGACAGTGATTTTTGTTTTTTAAAGCTACAGTGTGTAATAATTACAGGGATATACAGTCAGAAATGTAATATATTATACATAACTATGTTATTTATCATCATCTACGAGCTCAGCCTCTTAACCTTAATATTTGCTCTGCCTTAGAATTCGTTATTTATAATTACATAGGAGCGGGTCTCGCAGCCATGGAGGCAGACATCTTTGCACTACGGCAGCACAGAGACAACAAACTAGCGATTGCGAGATCGCCCATTACGCTCGAAAGTAACTACGGCAAGTTGAGAGAGATGAACTGAGACGGTACTGAAATCTATACCCTACACAGACTAATGAAATACTATCTGTAAAATTATCTATGTAAACAAACCTCATCACTTGAGAAGGTAGGTGATGCGGACGTCGTGGAAGACATTTTGTCCCGTAACGCTCGCCGTACTGTTGGGGGGGAGAAACGGTGGGGGGGGGGGAGATGTTCATGTTGCTGCGGTCTGCAGTCTGGACGTTAGATGTCGCTGAAAATTACACACTGTAGCTTTAAGCATATGCACTGATTGATCGATGGCACTTTTTAAAAATTTCGTTGTTCTTGTGACAATGACAATAAAGACAAATTGAAATTGAAATTGATCTCTATATTTATGGGCTCTTTTTTTTTTTTCAGTTTGATATAAAAAAAAAATTTAAACAGTAACCTATGTACAGATATATCTAATATTTAGGGGGGAAAAAGAAATGCAAAACATCAAAACACAACAGCAAAATTCCCGACAGGCAGCCAAGGACAGCAGTAGGAGGTTGCTGATTTGGGCTTGTTTTTTTGCAGGACCTGGGTGCATTGCAGTCATAGAGCTGACTTTAAACTCCTCTATTTACCAAAATGTCCTTGAGTGAGGGCTGCTGTCATGTTGCTGACACTTGGTCCAAACTCCATAATTAACAGAACAATATTCCCAAAACAGCAGCAAAATGAAAACTGAATGAAGAGACTAAAAACAGCTAAACAAAAAGTCAGAACCAGACCTCAGGCTGAGTACATAGCTGTGGTGGGACCATCAGAGATATTTTAGACACTAAAAAATACTGAAAACTATGACATCATAGCCTGTATTGAAGGTTTTACAAGTGATTAAATAATGGTGTTTTAATTTCCCCGTGCCTGCTCATTATTAAACAGAAAATTGATTAAAGCATCTTGCTCTAAAATCATGGAGAAATACAAAATGATTTATTTACTATTTGCTTTTATTGAAACCATCCTGTTTTTCTTCTGTCTCTCCTATCATCCATCAGGTGGCTCAATGGCCCTAAGAGGAAGAGGAAGAACAGCCAATGTTCCGTGAAGAGTATGACTGGTGAGTAGTTTAGTTTAAAATAAAAACATTGAATTATATATAAAACAAGTCTGAAATGTCCCAGCAGAGAAACGCATGTCTCACCTGCAGTGAATCTGTTTCTATGTTAACAGATCTTTAATTAATTGGATAAAAGAAGCCCAGGTCCAGACATCAGTTCATTTTAAGAACTAAATATCTTAGTCTTGTATAATTTAACTTTGTTTAAGATGTCATAATGAAAACGGAATATCTCCCCACATTGGATCTAAGCTGCTGAGAGACTGCAGGGGTGGTGCTCGATATTTGAAGGCTGCATTTTGAACATAGTGTTTTTTAGAGAAATATAACAAAACATTTTGGCATCTGGCATTGACAAACTAAATCCCTTTGCTTTGTCTGCATCTGTGTTTGTCCCTGTTTTTTTGGTGGAACTGAGAAACCAAACAAGGAGAGACGCAGTGAAAGAGATGCAGTGGGAGGAGCAGAGGTGCAGATTTGGGAAAATACAGCAGCTGATTAGATTTTTATTCCTTTCCAACTGGTTTATTGTATGAATACATACATTTTTTAAACATTTGGTTAAAGAAAATCCATTTATCTCCATTTTGAGCCTCCTTTCTCTTTACATCATAAACACAAATACATACTACATATCCTTCCTTGAGTCCCTCTATGTTTTTACATGTTTAACTAATGCTGATGAAAATGAAAGTCAGATTCCTTGTTTGTGAATCAAACTTGGCCCATAAGTTGATTCTGATTGCTGATAATATGAGTAGAGCAAACCCCCGAAAACTCATTATGGATGGGGAAATACAATTAATTTCCAAATAAATGAAATGATCGGCCTTGATCACAGAAACTCTTAAACACCACTCAAAGTTTTAGCTCTGTGTCGTTGTTTGAATGCATTCAATGCTTCAGATGCTGTATTTTTCCGCTCTATAAGGCGCATAGAATAGATGCTACAGTAGTGGCTGGGGTTGCGTTATGCATCCTCTAGATGCAGCTGTGCTAAAGAGAATGTCAATAAAATACTCGGATAAGTAAGTCAAAATTTATTAATATATTATTTACGATATGATCAATCTTCTTCAGGTTGATCATATTGTAAAAAAAAAAAGAAACACATAGATAGAAATCTATCTGTTCATTTCTTATCAACAAAGCCCTCTAATTCTTCTTCTTCAGTGTCCAAATTGAGCAGTTGGGTTAATAAGGGATCCAACATGCCCGGCTCTGTCTCGTCAAAGTCATCATTATTTGAGTTTATGTCACTGCTGTTGTCTGACAGTTCAGTGACAATTCCTGCCTTCCTGAAAGCTCAGACCACAGTTGAGGCTGATACCTCAGCCCAGGCATTTACGATCCGCTGGCAGATACTGGCGTATGTCGTTCGACGCTGTCTCCCTGTCTGGTGAATTTGTTTTCGCCTTCTGTCATCCATTTACGGAAGAGGATTAGGGCCGCTGAAAAAAAAAAGTTAACTGATTTTTACATTTTATTTCAGTTTAACATCAGAATTCTGACTTTTTTCTCAGAATTCTGACTTTTTTTCTCAGAATTCTGACCTCTTTCTCAGAATTCTGACTTTTTTCTCAGAATTCTGACTTTTTTCTCAGAATTCTGACTTTAGGAGCCATTATGGGGCCTTAACACACACAAATGGAAATGAAAATCCCCAGGATGCACAGCGCACTGATTCTACAGGAGAAAATGAAGTCGACGGCTGCTCCCTATAGTTGCTAGACCTGTTGAAACTTAATCTTGATCTATAGATAGGGTGCAACGGATTATATGGCACACTCGGTTTTTGAGAAAATTGAAGGCTTTTAGGTGAGCCTTATAGTGCAGAAAATACGGTAAAAGCAAATATGCAGAACACCATCGTCACCTCGTAATCATCTTCATCCAACTCAGTTTTAAACATATTTCTAAAAATAGATGGACATTGTAGGGCTTCTTACAGTACACTCAAAGAAGTATAGAGCCAACAGAAATATTTAAACAGAATAAAAGTGACACTTAAATCTCTCTGCATTTAACCCATCCTCTTGGGGAGCAGTGGGCTGCCACTGTGCGGCACCCGGGGAGCAGTGTGGCTTAAGGATCTTGCTCAGAGAGCCAGAGTGGCAATCTGTTAGTCTCGTGAGACCATCCTGATCTCGCGAGCTTTCAAGGTTTCACTCGCAGATCAGTCTGGAGACTCTCCATTAAAGAAAATTTGGAGCCGTTCACCAAACGAACGTCCAATTAGCGTTGGCTTTGAGGCGGGTTGAGGTGTGACGCAACGAGAAGCGTGACAGTTCAGTCTAAAGAACATGGTGGCTTCAGCCGATGAAACTAGCGTTAGCGTGGCTATCGAGCAAGTTTTATCGGAATTACACTGTATATCTTCACTGAAAGAAGAGCAAAACACTGCTCTGGAGGCTTTTCTCAGAGGAAAAGATGTTTTTGCTCTTCTCCCGACTGGTTTCGGCAAGAGTTTGATCTATCAATTGGCTCCTCTTTGTCGTCGCTCTGTTAGTACGTCATATGCTTCGTTGATCTGATTGGTTTATTTGGCCCGTCTATCACCAACATAGGCCAATCAGCTAACCAGTATTTTCGCTCCTTCCCAAAATTACTTCACCCGAAGGTTTCCAGATGGATATGCGGAGCAAATCCCTCTTGTGGAGTCAGGTTAGCAATCTGTGGGAGTGGAGCTTGAACTCGGAATCTCTGGATTCTAAGCTCTATGCCCTAAGCACTAGGCCGCCACTCCCCAAAGCAGGCATAAGGGTGAAGGGTCTTATCTAAGGACCCACACTGGCAGCTCATTCCCTCAAGATCCTTAACCTCACACTGCTCCCCAGGCGCCGCACAATGGCAGCCCACTGCTCCCCAAGGGGAGGGGTTAAATGCAGAGAGTTCATTTCGTTGCTCTGTACTTGTAACAGTGTAATGACAATAAAAGCTGGGGAAAAAAAGAGAAATTAGCTACTTAAAGAATTGTGGGAGACATAATGTAAAGTAAATAAAAGAGAAAAGTTTGGAATTGAGGTTGAAGTCATGCTTACTACTAGTATTGTGATGTTTACCTAAAATCAAAAACCCAGAACTCTTTCCATGTCCAGATTATGGATCAAACACCACATGCTTAAATATCTGTAGGTTTTAACATGTGTGTAATAGAAGAAGCTCTTTGAAGTGATAAAAGCAAAATCACCCTTTGAAATTATGAACCCTTTTAATTTTTAACATTGCAAGCACAGGTAATCACATATTATGGTATTAAAGTTTCATTGTGTAGCTCATAACAGCAGCAGGGGATTAGTGTGTATAGGCAGGATTATCCCCTAATGTCCACAGTGTTTACAGTCTCATATGTCACCCCTCCTGCACTCTTGTCATGTCAGGGTTTTAGAGAAAGAACCCTGAGACTCCATCAGAAACCTGATCCATTCTGTTCTGATCCAAACAAAGAGAGCAGCTGTTCTGGCGGGAAACTTGCGAAGACGGAATATTTATCTGGGCTTTGCGCTTCTGCAGGGACCCCTTTGGGTCCCTTTGAGTTTCCTGTTCTGCACCGATCCAGAGAACTGCAGCAGTATTGATTTTGGGCTTGGCTTCCCAATGCAGCCACAGAGTAGCACTGGAATGGGGCTGGTTCTGCTGCTTGGCCCTCCAAGGCTGCAGAACTGAAATTTCTCTCATGTTGTTCTTAGATTTTTTATTTCCTTAAGCACTTTTCCTTTTCAGTTCTGTGTTTTTTTCCAGCAAATCTGAACTATTCCAATCCTTCGCCAGCTTGGAGTTACTGTAACCATAGTTGTGCAAATCGATTTGGCCAAAATGTGGCTAGTGCCTCTTTGGCTCTTGCCTCTCTTTCCCACCATCCTCTTCTTCCACCGCTCCTCCTTCTCATCGTTTTCCTCCTCTTCCTCGTCTAAATTCTGTATCCAAGCCAAAAAGCAGAGCCCAACTGACACTGCCAGTCACAGCTCTCCCCACGCCCCGATGCGAACTCAAACACAGCTGGGTTCATCCTGTATCCACCGAGGATAAGACATAGAGGCTCTTTTTGGATAATCTGTTTAAATAATTTAAAGAACTGGGTCACTTTCTGACCCAGTATAACCTCACCCGTCCTCCTTGCTGCAGTTGTAGTTTGTCAGGTATGCAAGAAATCTTAGATGATGCAAGAATCTCAGGTTTTTATTAGTTGATTTAGGTTCTCCACTTTTTCTGTCTGAATGTAATCTGAGACTCTGCAGGGGCCCAACGGTCTGCTGCAGCACTGTCCCCCCCCCCCCCCCCCCCCCCCCCCTGCCCCATGTTTGGAGTTATCGTACTGTAAAAGAAGGCTGTCGCTCAATGCTGTGTAGTATGCACCAAAAAAAAACTGAAAAACTGTCTAAGCAGTTGCAGCACATGAGCTGAAAATTTATGCCTCTGTTGCCCAGTTTGTGTATGTTTGTTCCCCCGGACACCCACCCTGAATTTATTTGCAACTTGCAGTGGACCATCTCCTCCCCTCCCTGCTGTTCAGCCACGTATACGGCACATGAAATGTCTGAAAATCTGCTGTTTCCTGTGTCTCTGGGCAAACTTTGAAACTCTCCCAGGTCTAAGAGGCGGTATAAGAGGAGAACAAGCCGTTCTGTTCCTAAACAAAGCCGTATTCTATGCTCTAAAAATAAGTGAAACTTGTTCCATGTAGCTCACATCAGATTAAACTCATTAGAGAGATTTATTTTGAAGTACTTCTTTAAAGTACTGGAAGCTAAATAAGAATTAGATTTAAAATCAGGGTTCCTTTCATACTAATTTGGGTTCCTTAATGGAGGAAGTATGATTTTATGTGCTTTAAGGTTAATGAGTATGGAAAATGTCTACACTTTATTTCCTGCATTCTTTTCTCTGAATGTTTTGACATTCCTTCCTTCTTTCTGTCTTTCCATCCTGGTGTCACACTTGTCTGTTTTTCTTTGCTGTGTGTGATTCTGACTCAATTTTCTTTTTTTCTTGTCCATTTTCTTCTGTTCTTTCTCCTTTTCTACCAACCTCCCTTCCTTTCCTTATCCTACCTCCCTTTTTTATGGTGCATTTACACCAAATCCAAATAATGAGGCCGGAGCAGGTGATTTATGTTAACCATATGCAAAGGCTCTATAAAGAGCAAAACGATGCAAAGGACCCTTTTCTAACAATGCTTATGCCCTTTAGAGTGAAGTTAAACCAGTGTTGGACACGAAGCTAAAAAGTCTGAGTCTGAATCTTTTTTTTCTTCCTTTTCTTCCATGTTGCAGTTCCTCTGTCTCTACTTTGTGTCCTTCCTCTCTAAACTTCCATGTTTTCTGTTGTCCGTCCTTTAATCCTTCCTCCCCTTCCTTTGTGTCTCTATCTCTTTTCCATCCTATTCCTCTGGCTTCATTTTTTCCTTCCCTCCATCTTCCCTGATTCTGCTTTTGAAGCCTCTACATTCCAGGCGTGCCCACTGCAGAACTAAATTTATATGAATCTTTAAATTATTATTTAATATTGAAATAAAGGAATGAAAGCTTATTATTCAAATGAAAGTTTGAATAATAAGCCCAAAAAGATGACACCCTTGATGAAAATGCTGCTCCCAGTTTAATCAACCATTTCCCTGCAGTGACATGCAGACTGCAATAAAGGACATGCTTCTGGAATGCATGCCTGTTGCCATAAAAAGATTTTCTCCATATCCTCATGCTTGTGTTTGTTCTGATTTCAGGGTACATTCCCAGCTACCTCGAAAAGGATGAGCCATGTGTGGTGTGTGGCGACAAAGCCACAGGTTACCACTACCGCTGCATTACCTGTGAAGGCTGCAAGGTATGCATACGCAACCATAGCCGCCTGCTGTAGCAGCAGATATCTCAGTAGCTTATTCCTTTAGTTTCATGTCATTGGATGAGGCTTTTCTCGGTGGAAAAATGCAGTAATTATAAGGTGCTTTAAACATTTAAATAGTGTATTTATTATTCTGTCTTGGGGTGAATTTCTGATGTCATTTATAATGAGAAGAAATCAATTAAACTAAACCTTAAGAAACCTTTAGAAAGCCGGAAATAATGGCTGATATGCATCATGTTAACGATCATTGGAAAGTCATTCAATATCCGAAGCTGAATGAAGAAAAAAAAGGATTTAAGGTCTTTGCACCAAACGGTGGTTTAGCGTTTCACCAAAAAGCTGCAGGAGGACGGATTGTTCCTCTTCACTGCAGCTGCAGACTGACACGATCGTGTTACCTCGTCTTTTTTTTTTATTCCTCCATCACTTTCATTTCTAACTGCTCCGTTTCCCACCAGGCGACCCCTTCCGTTTCACCGACTGTCACTCTGCCTGAAGCATTCATTCATCTCTCTCTCTTGTGTTTTTCTGCGCTTTTATCCCGATGCCTGCAGGGTTTCTTTCGTAGGACCATTCAAAAGAACCTCCACCCCACTTACTCCTGCAAATACGATGGCTGCTGCATCATCGACAAGATCACCCGCAACCAGTGCCAGCTGTGCCGCTTTAAGAAGTGCATTTCGGTGGGAATGGCCATGGATTGTAAGTGCTGAGCTTTCATTTTGCCACACAACAAAAAAAAACTTAAATGTCTTCAATTGGATTTTTAACAATAAATAAAGGGTAGAATGCTTTACCATGGCTTTGGTTGTAAATTAACACTTAATGGTCTAATTCACGAGTTATGGTGAATAAAACATGCTTCCTGTTGAAATATTTAGTTTTAAATAACAAGTTACTTGGATAATGATTATATGAAACATTTTTTAATTTTTCTGTACCCAGTGGTACTGGACGACTCAAAGCGGGTGGCTAAACGGCGCCTTATTCAGGAGAACAGGGAGAAACGCAAAAAGGAGGAGATGGTGAAATCCTTGCAGAGCCGTCCAGAGCCCACTGTGGATGAATGGGACCTGATCCGGCTGGTGACGGAGGCCCATCGGCACACCAACGCTCAGGGCGCACAGTGGAAACAGAAGCGCAAATTCCTGGTAAGGACTTGCAAAAATTAAAAATGTATTTCCTTAATATATATTTTAGTCCGCTTTAAAGATCAGTTCCTGCTATGTGCCCTTTAGTCTGGCTCTTAGAGTAGGGAAACCTTACAGGATCAGTCTGAATGCTGCAGGAGAAGAGTTTTCATGCTAAGGACTTGTTAATTAATGACTTAATATATATCAAAATTTCTTATATCTGTTTAACTGACAACATTTTTTCAATGTTACATTGATAAAACAAGCTAAAGTATAAACATGAGACAATCATGAATCCATTGTGGGATTGTTTACACTGTTTAATAGCAAAACCAATGCAGAATGCAATTTATGCAGTTGTTTGTAAATATAAATTCTATTCAATTCGGTTTATTTATATAGTCCCAATTCACAACACATGTCATCTCAAGGCACTTTACAGTTCAACCAGATCATCCAGTCAAATTGATACAAAAATCTCTATCTAAGGAAAACCAGTTGATTGCATCGACTCATTGACTCAAATACAATCCCTCACACTAAGCATGCTTGCAGCGACAGTGGAGAGGAAAAACGCTTAAACCCGGGTGCACACTCCTCATCTAAAGGAGATTTAGATACGAGAAGGAAACTTTCTGTGTCGGGAGGTAATGACAAATCAAGCCAGCCCTGCTGTCGTTGCTAACTCACATTTTGCACTCTGAATTCACACGGCACATAATCCATTTGCTTTTAACGTGTCAAGTATGACTCCATAGGTCCTGCATGAATTCCCTAATTCTGCCTTCAGACTGCTTGAATTCTCGGTGCGTTTTCTAACACCTGTGGAAGTGAACATTCTCTGAGGCGAGATGGAAATTAGGAGCTACTTTACTGAGAGCAGCTCTAAAGAATCCTGAGCTGTTGAAATGTTCCCAAACCTTCTGTCTTTTAGCAACAGAGATGCATGCAAATCTGTTTACAAATTCAAATCTGAAAATCTGCAGTGAATTAAGGTTTGGTACTCTTGACTCTAACACCTTCAATGAGGTGTATTTCAACCAAATAAATGAATGCAGAATCAAGTAAGTAGATATAAAATGAAACACCACTGGAATATAATCTTTAGATAGTTTCTATGGGTAATTGTGATCTAATTTGCATCAGTGCAACACATAAAATCCTAGCAAAAAGTATCTTGAGGGGTATTTCTAGGGTGGATGGTTGATATAGAAAGCAGGAGAAATATCTGCGTGTTTGACGTCCCACCTGCCAGCTTGGACATGACTGATCATAACCCAGGATTTGCTTCAGTAGAGATAAGGAGAGAGTTTACAGAAAGCAGAGCAATGACATATGCTGAGATTCATGGGGTAGCAGGATACATTAATCTTCTAAACCATTAACACAATTACATTTGGTTAAGAGCCCAGAAACAGCACAGCTCCCCAGGTACAACAAAAGCAGAGTTTTTCAGAAGGCCTTTTGCTCTATATATGCCAAGTTGCCAAAGTTAGCTTTTTGCAAGAATTTTGAAATAACATTTTTATAAAATTAGGAATTCAATAAATTTTCACGTTGGTGTTTCACCCCGCCAACAGCATCAATGTGGATGTAAGCATTGCAGTTGAGATTTAGAAGCTATTCTTTTTACAGTAGATTTAGCATCCTACTAAAACATCCTCTTTTTTTATGAAGTAATGAACATTTATATAATTGAAGATCTCAAAATAGTTTTTTAGTTAAATGTTTTGGTGTTTGTACACACCATCTGACCAAAGTGAAATATGAATCCTCCCCATAAACCTTCAGCAGACATAAATCTCCCGCTTTTCATTGGTTTTAAACTTATAAATTTAAAACTGATGGTCAAGGAAGCATTTTCCAAATAGTGAAGTGTTTTCATCAGAATCTGTTCAATCTGTGCATTGAGCAGAAGATCCAATTAAAAAACCAGCGGACATCTGGTTCTACTTCAACTCAGGTTCAATAATAAAAAACACTTTTTAATACCAGCTCCAAGTTCCAAGAAAAAAAAAATTACCCTTATGCCAGATATGTTGAATAAATTTTACATTTTTTTATTTGGCTCTAACTGATACATCAGTATACATTATCTTAAAAAAAAAAACGTACAAACATCCACATAATAAGGAAACACGAATCCAAAAAAATGTATGACTATATATATGAGGTATAAAGCCAGAGTTTTTACTGTTTTCTACTAGTATAGAGTAAGTATACAGGGCCTACTGTATGATAAGTAAGCACTGGTATAATTTACTCTTCAACATCCTTTGTTTGTTAGTTGTTTGCCTTGAACGCTAAAGGTTTGTCTTTCCTAACTACACATGAATCTGGGATTACCTTCTGGTTCGCAGAGTAAAAGGAAACTCACCGTTAATGTCGCCCTGAGATCCGTCGGTATTTTCCAGTCTGTAATTCTCTAGAAAACAAAGTTTTACTTCAACGATGTCTCATACACTACTCAGCTTTGACAGCATCATCCCACTGCATCTGATAGGCAAACTGGAACAGCCGGGCTTCATTACACCCCTCTACAATTGGCTGCTAGACTTCCTCACAAACAGACCTCAGTCAGTCCGAGTTGGACAGAACACCTCTGATGTCTTCAACCTAAGCATAGGCTCCCCTTAAGTCTACGTCCTGACACAACTGCGCCCCCTGGTTCACCAATCAGACCGTGAAGTTTGTAGATGACACCATCAGCTATAGAGGTGGTCAGCAGCACCAAATTCCTGGGGGTGCACATCACAGAAAACCTCACCTGGAGTGTAAACACCTAACCTGACTCCGCCAGATGGATTTGCTCCGCATATCCATCTGGAAACCTTTCTTTGAAGAAATTTTGCAAAGGGGCTAAAATACTGATTAGCTGATTGGCATATGTTGGTGATAGACGGGCCAAATAAACCAATCAGATCAACGAAGCATATGACGTAACAGAGCGACGACGAAGAGGAGCCAATTGATAGATCAAACTCTTGCCGAAACCAGTCGGGAGAAGAGCAAAAACATCTTTTCCTCTGAGAAAAGCCTCCAGAGCAGTGTTTTGCTCTTCTTTCAGTGAAGAAATACTCTGTAATTCTGATAAAACTTGCTCGATAGCCACGCTAACGCTAGTTTCATCGGCTGAAGCTGCCATGTTCCTTAGACTGAACTGTCGCGCTTCTCGTTGCGTCACACCTTAACTCGCCTCAAAGCCAACGCTGATTGGACGTTTGTTTGGTGAACGGCTCCAAATTTTCTTTAACAGAGAGTCTCCAGACTGATCTGCGAGTGAAACCTTGAAAGCTCGCGAGATCAGGATGGTCTCACGAGGCTAGTAAACACCACACCACTGGTCAAAATGGCACAAAAGTGTATTTTACATCCTGCGGAGGATGAGGAGAGCCCTCCTGCTCCCACCCATCCTCATCACCTTCTACAGAAGTACCATAGAGAGCATTCTGACCAGCTGTCTCACTGTGGGGTGTGGAGGCTGCAGCGCCTCAGACTGGAAGAAAGTGTTTTATGCCAGCGCTGTGTGTCGCAAGCCCGTAACACTAATACTAACCCCTCATACCATCACCATGGACTGTTCTCCCTGCTGCCCTCTGGGAAGAGGTTTCAAAGCATTCAATGCAGGACCAGTAGATTCTGCAACAGCTTCTTCCCCACCGCCATCAGACTGCTGAACTGTTGGGAAATACTTTAAATCATTTACAGAGTCTGCACCGAAAATACTGCATATTTGCACCATTAATGCTCTAAACTTCCATATCAACCTGAGTTTTTTTGCACCATTTTTTTTTCTCCCACACTGCTTACATTTGATCAGTGCTGCATTTAATGGAATGGACATCTTCATTTATTGTCTTAAGCTGCACTAAATTGAATTTTGTTTTATATACACTCTGTGTATACAAAATGACAATAAAATTTGTCTAAGTTTAAGATATGGCATAATATTATTAACACCGGAAGCTGAAGAAGTCAGATACTCCTTTTTCTTGCCACCTGTTGGTGAGCTGGGAAATATCCGTCCTTCCCTCCCTCTCTTCTCCTCTCCTCTTTTTTCTATCTTCTCTTTTTCCCTCATTTTTTTCCTGTCTGACTTCCTTCATTTTATCTGTTTTTCTTTCCTCAGTTTCTTTTTTTGTTCCACCTTTGTCCTTATTCCTTCTTTTGTTTCTTCATATTTTCATCCATGTGTTCTTTCTTCTGTCTTTTCTTACTCAGATGATGATTGTAAATATAGTCCACATTACAAAGAAGTGTGGAAAAGTGTCAAACTTTTACACAATTAATCCATGCAAACTCTGGAGCTTGTTGTTGAAAACTCAGGTTTCACACATTAAATTAAAAAAAAGGAGCCAGCAATAAGCCCTTATAATCAGTGAATTAGACTAATCCAGCTTCGATCAACCAAAACTGATTTGTTTTTTATTCAAAAGGTCAAGCAGAGCACAGAGCTACAATGTTTTCAGAGACTTTTTTCCATGACTCTTGCTACATTTATCAATGTTCAGGTCATTTTAGAAAATTAGGCTGATTCGATAACCTAAATTATCCTCATCAATTTCCAGAATTAGACTCTGCATTAATCTAGATAATCTGCTGAGTTCACTTTAAGGACTTTTCCCTAGATTTTGTTGTTTTCTTAAGTTCACTAGACGTTTCTAATCACATTTTGCCATAGATGAACTCAATACAAACAAAAGCCATTCCAACATAAAGTGTTAAATACAATATCTGTGGAATAAGTGTAGCAAATTAAGGGTGTAAAACCCTCAGATGATTCTCCTACTTCTCCTCAAAAGCTTTTATTTTTTAATTTTTTTATATATACAATCTACCCTGACCACCTACAAATGCTTATTTTTTTAATCTAGAGTTGCATCTACCAAAGTTATTATTGCAATAATTTAACCTTTACATGAACAATCGTATCCCAGTTGTTGGTCCAAGTTTTATGATTGATGACTTGCAGTTGAAGGTGATTATTCTTATGCTTATCTTAACATTGGCTGAAGCTCAACTGCAAAAAAAATAACTTCAGCTTTGACACATACTTTATTAACTAGAGGTATGAAACCGTATTTTACATTATCACATTTCATTTGCTGAGATATCTAAATGTGAACGTTTTAATATCCACAATCCTCACATTAGACCCAAAAACTTCAATGCATTTCATTGTTATTTTATGCGACTAAAATAGTGCACAATGGAAATGACCAAGAATTCAGTGTTTTTATTAAAGTTTTCAATTAAAATCAGAAACTTCTCAGCCTCTATTGATAATCATGGTACTTCCTTAGTCATCCTGTTTCAAACTGGATGGGATTTTGTGTGACAGTCTTTACTACAAACTATGTTTTATTATCTCTAGATCTCCAACCAAAAGATCAGTGCAAAAAAACGATCTAGAAATAAGTAAAAATTTCTTAAATAAAGTTTATTCAACCGTAATTTGAGCAGGTAAATGAGATAGTTTGCCAATGGAATGAGTAATTTTAGTCTTAAAATAAGAGAATTAGATAATATGCACTTGAAATAAGACAACCCAATTGTGTTTTCTTATTTTAAGTGTAAATTGTCTTGTTCCATTGGCAAAATGTCTTTTTTACCTCCTCAATTCAAGAACAAATGCACTTATTTTAAGAAAAAATGACTTATCTAGATTTAGATTTTTTGCAGTGATCAGACCAATAGTAATAATATTAAGGCTTTATAATAATAATTCACTTAAGAATGCAAAAATTCAAAAAGAACACTGCAATAGGTTTTAATAGCTTATGTTTAAGGTGTTTTGTTCATTCTAAGGGAGGTTTTAATAGATATTCTAAAGCTGGACGGATTTCTGAGGGATTTTTTTTACACCATTTCCTAATCGCTGTTTTTTTTTCACCTGATGCAGCCAGAGAAAATTGGCCAGTCTCCAGTTGCCCCAACGTCAGACTGTGACAAAGTGGATCTTGAAGCCTTCAGCGAGTTCACCAAGATCATCACCCCTGCCATCACTCGCGTTGTTGATTTTGCCAAAAAACTGCCCATGTTCTCTGAGGTGAGTGAAGGTAGATTGTTTGGCAGCAGAGGACCGGTTCAGAGAGTGATGGATGCTGCTACGTTTCTGTCCGACTGTGTTTGTTTGTGTAAATTACTTAGGTTTAGTTGTACAGTTTGTCTGGACGATAATTTCATGTATCTTCAGAGAACTCAAAGATTGAAGTAATGACTAAGCTGAGCAGTAGAGAGCCTTGATAATTCATCCATACTCCTCAACCTGGTATATGAATGGAAAGTGAAAGGAAAAGGATGTGTTTTCATTTTTTTATTTTTTTTTCTAACGAACCCTTAGCAGCAATTATTCCTGCAAGTTTTTTGGTTGTTTCTTTACAGGCTTAACACTCATTTTCATTTATTAAACACCTTAAGTTCAGTCACATATGACAAAATTGTCTTTTTCAGGTCTTGCCACAGAGTCACTTGAATTTGTTTCCATCTGTTGGGTTCATAAAATGTAGGTTTTTGCAAAAGAAGAACTGAAATACACAATTATGGATACAATTTCTGCAGAAAGGAGAGACAGTTGAATCCCAGACTCAAACACACTGTCTCCCACCGGACCTCCTCTGCAGAGCATTTTATTAACATAACATGACACATGGTTACAAACAGAGTATTGTTCTGACAGAACAATTGATCAGTTCATGAAGACAGAATGCTCCATCAGAATGACAAGGCAGGATAGTCTCCTGACTGGATCATGAGAGAGGAGTGGACCATCCCCTCGCACAAATGTTACATAAACACACATTAATTTTATAATCATCATTGAATAAACCTAATACCATCTACATTTTTTGTGTATGTTTAAAGCCTCTGCCCTGCTAGAAGGTCAACGTCTGTCTACATCTCGTCTTCTGCAGCCTCCTATAGGGTTTTTCTCCTTTTACATTAATCTAAGCTGATCTACTGCTTCCCTGTTACTGCATTTTGGGCGCCAGAGCATCTGATTTACATGCATCGTCCAGCAGCATCAAGAGGCCCTCCGACAGTGTGGTGCCTGAACGCGTTCATTGAACGAAAGTTCATGAACTCGTTCATATTTTAGGCGAACGTGAACTGAACGTACTGTATTACTGCCTGATGAACGTTACTGTGAACTTGTTCATTCTGGTGTCTGTGAACGGCACGCTCTCTCAGTTCACCTCCGTTAAATAGGTTGCCAAATTTCTATAGAGCCCTCCAGGCGAAACCCCGGCTAAATCACACCGTAAACACGCCTTAATATGTAGCGGGAAAAACACCCAAACTGGCAACACCAGCTACCAGTGTCGTAGCCTACAGCCGCGTGCGTCATCAAAACAAAATGCAGCGTGGAAGCCACAGCAGCATGGAGGCGACCGTGGAGGCGACAAAGCAGCAGTATGATCACTTAGAACAGATTTATGACCAGGTGGTCGGTGAGGATGATGGCAACAATCTTACATTTCTCTGCAAACTTTGCCTGCCGGCTTTCAGTAAAAAAATCCGCACTTCAGTAAACTTATATTCCTCAGTTTGTGTTAGTAAAATTTTCTTGAGGGTTTTACTATTCATGTAACTTGTTTGTTAAACCTGCCTGGTATAATTTTCCAGGATTCCAGTATTCCTTTTTAGTATGTACTGAAGTGGAATTTCAAATGGAAAAATGATTAAAATTAAAAAAACATTTGCACCTTAAAGACTACTTTCCTGTTTTTCTTTTAATAATTCCTCATAAAAAAGACCATTCAAGCAGCACATTTTTCCTGATGTTTTTGAGAATATACTGTAGGGGTGAAAGCTGCAGCTGCTACTAGTGTGAAGTGAATGGACAGCAACAAAGCATTAAAGCAACAATGGGGAAATGCTGTCCCCTCAATGCTAATGTAAACCCTGGTTGGATAAGGATACAAAACTGGATATGAAGATGAAATCTGACGCACAGTTTCAGTGTTACAACTGTTAAAATAATTGCTGTCTGTGGTTCTACAGTAGGCTATGGTGTAATTGAGCAATATATGAAAAAAAAAGAACTATGAACTAGTTCATTTTTTGGAACTGTGAACTTAGTTCAAAATTTTGAATTATGAACTATGAACTGAGCTAGTTCATTTTAAAATGTGTGAACTGAACTTTGAACTAGTTCACGTAGAAAGAGATCTTCCCCAACACTGCCCTCCGAGCGTTGTGGCATCGTATAATCCAACGCCGGAGTTTGGAAATCTTAACTTTTGCGCCTTGCCGTAGAAGTTCAACCAATCAGAAAAGCAGAAACAAGAGTTTTCTGGGAGACACTACATGCAAGCTGTGATCCCTTCTGCAGAGCTGTCAGTATATGAAAAATGGATATTTATAAAAGGTGTTAAACACAGGTTTTAAAAAGGCAGGATAATTTATTTTTCTATAAACAAGGAACAGAGAATGAATTCTGATCATTATTGCACCACTAAAACATTTTCTTATTGAACTGTGGTTAAAACAGTTTATAAAGGATATATATTAACTAAAAATTTTAAAACCTGCCAGCTAAAAAAATAATAGGTATATATATATATATATATATATATATATATATATATATATATATATATATATATATATATATATATATATATATATACCGATGAGTACCAAATATTTTAGTCACTTATTGATATAATTACCTAAATATTTTGTACCTGCAGTTCTGGTACTTACAGTTTTTACCACAAATATAAAAAAGACTTTATATTCACTTTCAGCTGCTATGAATGGTAGCGGGAAATCCGCAACAGCATTGGGCTTCAGAGAGCTTTAACTGGGGAAGTCCAGCGCTGTCACCCGCCGGTCTGCGGTAGGGGCCTGCTGTCCCAAACAGAACTAATTATTTAATTAGGAACATATCCTGATAAAATTACTACACAGATGACATTTTGAGGTGGATTTGTTGAGAAAATAACCTTTAAAACCTTTTTTTTCCCCCAATTCATCAAAGCAAATAAAGCCAAGCTGCTCTTTAGATGCAACGAAACAACAGAGCAGCTCGACAGCCGAAGTATCGAGCATTCAAAGCGTCTGACCTCAACTTGCACAAGCATCCAAGTTTAGGAGTTGGATGCTCTTTTGAAGATGTGTGAACGCAGCATAAGAAAGCCATTCCAAACCATAATATAAGCTGCAACCAGATTCTTTTCCCAACTAAAAGGTCTCCTGCCGACAGATTATGGTAACTGAGCTGTCGAGATCTGCAGCTCATCCAATTTAAGAGCCTTTCCCCTGTTCTTCTAATTCATAACCTCCTTACCAAGCCAGACAGTTTATCCACGGTCTTGTATATTTGTAGATATATTTTCCACTTTCAGAGGATGAGATTACAAATGTTCAAAGTTTTATAGCCTAACTCTGATTTAAGTTTCTCCAAACCTTAATTTATAACCTTGCTGCTGAACACCTACTCTTTAGTCTGTTTGTTCTCTAGTGTTCTCTAACAAACCTCTAAAGCCTAAACCAAACAGCTTTATTTATACTGTGACTTATTTACACATGAAGCCTGTGAACGCAAAGGTGAAACATTTTCATTTTAGACTCTGTTTACTTGAAGGCAAATTATTAACAGAATTTAAACCTTCAAAAATACTCTGCATCCATCATCTTTCTCAAAAGCAGTGTAATAATTAAGTGACGATGGTGTTTTTGGAGAATCATCCAAGGCTTTTTGTCTAATGCAACAGATGCATTCAGAGCATCTTAAGTTGGAATTTGTAGCTAAATTAATCCCAAATAAAGAGTTGTCTTTATAATCTAGAGATTTAAATATTTGAAGACATATCCAGGAGATTTGGGTGCTGTTTTTTTCGTTAGTATAACTGTGTTTTTTTCATTTTATTTTGTGTTTTTTAATCTAATAATAAAACTTAATGATAAAACTTAAAAATTTAAAAATACAGTTTAGCTAAGATGGGGTTTCGTTATGCTTCCTCACTGAATCCCCGATAGAAAATGCACAGAAACAAAGCCAACAGTCATTAAGCCACTAAAAGCTAATTAGCTGCTTCTCCTTTAAATTGATGTAGCAGTAAACGCATTGTAAGCATTTCGTTTACGCTTCGATGACGAGCCCTGATTACAAATGTACAAGACAGAGCAAGACAGCGAATGTCAATTAAACTGTTCAGCTGACAGTTGTGACACGGAGAGGGAAGAGTTGCATCGAGGTGAGATTAATTCAGAACACCCAATGAAATGAGATTCAGCTTAGGGCTGCTTGTATCCATTTAAATCGTGGTTTTTGAATTATCTGTCCATGCAGCGGAAACACATACAAGTTTGGTTGAATGCAACCCATCTGCCTCTGCTGTAGATTAGTGAACAGATTCTTCATGCGTCCATTGTGGATTGTCACATGGCACAATTTGTGACAGATGACAGTATAGACGGGACTTGGTCGGGTGAACTCTGGGTTATTGTCTAATTGTTATTCATGTTTTACTCAGTTGTTGCTAAGCTGCAGGCAACACACCCCTGTGCGTTCGTGGATATATCTGATCATATTTTCCTGCTAGACTTATTTCAACAGTTTGTCAGGACCTATGAACCTCTAACATAAGAACTCCTAGTGTTAAATTGCAACTCTTTATTTTTCCTTGTTAGGATTTTAAAGGCGAGGAAGCTTGTAGTGATGATATATGCTGGCTTGGACCACTCACTTTTACACCGTCTGCAGTTGGTACAAAATGCAGCTGCCCGTCTCCTTACTGGCACACGTAAACGTGACCACATATCACCTGTTCTAGCCTCACTGCACTGGGTCCCGGTTGTTTTTAGGATAGATTTTAAAATTTTATTTTTTGTTTTTAAAGCTCTTAATGGTCTAGCCCCCCAGTATTTGACTGAGCTTCTCCAAATTCATACCCCGGCCAGAACACTGAGATCCTCTAATCAGCTGCTACTCGCGATGCCTAAAACCAGACTTAAAACCAAAGGTGATCGTGCCTTTATGGCAGTGGCTTTTAAATCCTCTTTAAAGTCACATTTCTTCTCCCTGGCTTTTAATCATGTCTAAGTGGAAATTTGGCAAAATTTTATTTTAAATTTTATTTTATTCTAAAATGTATTTTAATTGAAACATTTATCTTATTCTAGTTTATGTGTTTACGTATTTTAGTCTTCAGCTTGTATCTTATGTTCCTTAACTGTGATTCCTGCACATCATTTTGGTCAACCCCGGTTGTTTTAAATGTGCTTTATAAATAAAGTTTGAGTTGAGTTGAGTTGATGAGTAAAGTGAAAACATGATTTCTTGAGGCTAAAGATGTCCTGCAGGGTCATTTTCATTCTACATACTGGAAGGTACCATTGCAGATTTGGCTCTATGGTTGTGACAAAAAACAAAGATAACTACTCGAGTAATTAAATGTTTGTCTAATAAAGCTTAAAATAAGCAGTTTAAGGGGAAAGTGGAAAATATCTAACTTGTCAAAACGAAGAGGTTGAATCAATCAAATTAGACTAAACCAAAACCCGGACAGGAATGGAGTCCGCAGTACAGCAACTGTCGTCTTAAAGGACTCATGATGTTTGACGCACGGACAATCTGCAAGGTAAATTAGCTACCCGGCCGTTACAACATCTGTAGCATTTATGTTCTGTGCAGCTTTCTACTAACCTGACTCCGCCAGATGGATATGCGGATTACTTCCGCTGAAGTAATTTTGGGAAGGGGCGAATATACTGGTTAGCTGATTGGCCTATGTTGGTGATAGACGGGCTAAATAAACCAATCAGATCAACGAAGCATATGACTAACAGAGCGACGACGAAGAGGAGCCAATTGATAGATCAAACTCTTGCCGAAACCAGTGGGGAGAAGAACAAAAACATCTTTTCCTCTGAGAAAAGCCTCCAGAGCAGTGTTTTACTCTTCTTTCAGTGAAGAAATACTCTATAATTCCGATAAAACTTGCTCGATAGCCACGCTAACGCTAGTTTCATTGGCTGAAGCCGCCATGTTCTTTAGACTGGACTGTCGCGCTTCTCATTGCGTCACACCTCAATCCGTCTCAAAGCCAACGCTGATTGGACGTTGGTTTGGTGAACGGCTCCAAATTTTCTTCAATGGAGAGTCTCCAGAGTGATTTGCGAGTGAAATCTTGAAAGCTCGCGAGATCAGGATGGTCTCACGAGGCTAGCTTTCTACCCCTTCTGGTCAGCTCCAAGTGGGCATGGTTAGCAGAAGCTGCATGTTGACGACAACACACCACTAGCGGAAGTAGAACACGGCCGTTAAAAGTAGTGTTTCACCGATACCGATACCAGTATCGGACGGGGCCCCGATACTGCCCTAAAATGGTGGTATCGGCGAGTACCAACAAATAGGGCACCAATACCATTTTGAGAGCCATAAGTTTATTCAACTATTGTCACCCACTCCTTAAGTTTCTTTTAAATTGATTTAAATAAAGTTCCAAATGCAACAAATATCTCTAATGTTTCAGAAATAATGTCATTTGTTCATAGTGTCAGTAACAATAGGATAATACCACAGCATTACTGTGGCACTATAATCTTACTCCCTTTTATTTTGCAGTTCTAGCCAATTAGTTCACCTTAGAAGAAAATATGATTATATTTTATGACACAATAGATATTTTTTGGCTCTTAAAAGCTATATTGTCTGAGGCAGACACATGGATGGTTTTAGACAAGTGTCAACAGGGGCCAGTTCCCCTGTAGAACTGAAATGATGATACACTGGCAGAAGAACTGAACTGTTCCCCTACACCAGTTATTTTTTTTAAACCCTTGCAGTTTTAATTTAACGACAATTTCAAAATGATAGAGTTGCACTTTTAGCTTGAGCCATATAGAGTTGAGGTTTCTGCAACATTCAACTCCAGGGTCCCCGTTGATCTGTGGCTCTGTTGATAGATTTAACAATGGACTTTATCCCTGTATTTTTCTACATATCTTTTTTTTTTCTTCTGTAACCCTATGAAAAAACCCTGGCCAAGCCCTTACCCCTCTGTTAAATTTAGTCCTTACATTTTCTGTTAAATTTAGTCCTGTTTATTTTGATACAGTATATATCCTCACAACAGAGATAATGTTTCCATTGGCCAATAAAAGGCATTTGTTTTTGTTTGATCATCAGCTGCCTTGCGAAGACCAGATCATCTTATTGAAAGGCTGCTGCATGGAGATTATGTCGCTGCGAGCGGCCATCCGCTATGACCCGGAAAGCGAGACGCTGACGCTGAGCGGGGAGATAGCTGTAAAGCGCGAGCAGCTGAAGAACGGAGGGCTGGGAGTAGTGTCTGACGCCATCTTCGATCTGGGCAAAAGCTTGGCACAGTTTAACCTGGATGACACCGAGGTGGCGCTCCTACAGGCCGTGCTTCTCATGAGCTCAGGTATGTTTAAAAGTAAAAAGGTTTCCTCATTTTATATTTTATTTACAGTTGCTTGACATGATGTTCAGTATAAAATCTAATAAACAAGGTTGCATTTAAATGACTTAGACTTAGACTTAGACTTCTTTATTTGTCATTTTGTATGCACAGGGTGCATACAGAACGAAATTGCGTTACATACAGCTTATGAACGTTGCATTGATATTTCAAATGGCACGAGTTATAGAAAAATACAAAAAGTGCAGCAGTGGTCAAAGTGTGAACAGTGCAGAGGATAAGAGACAGTGTGCAAGTTGCAGTGGTTCAGTGCAGAATGGCATTTGTGCAAAAAATGCGTTATTGAAAAATACAATGAGATGAACAATTTAAAGGGCTAAAAGTTAAAAGTGGTGCAGAGTTCGGATTGTGGATCAAAGGTTCAACAGTCTGATGGCAGTGGGGAAGAAGCTGTTGCACAACCTGGTGGATCTGCAGCGGATGCTGCGGAACCTCTTTCCAGAGGGCAGCAGGGAGAACAGTCCATGGTGGGGGTGTGAGGGGTCTTTGATGATATCATTGACATCATTTTGTTTTCTTAGCTTTGGTAGCAAGAAAAGTTTTCTAGTTTCTAATAGAGAATGTTGCAGCCGGAAGAAGAGAAATTCCCCAATACCTGAAGCACATTCATAGGGCCTCTTTCTTAGATCAATATCATTGACCCAGTCTGCCATTTCAGAGGCCTTGTCTCAGTCCTTCTTTAAAGCTAAGAACTCCAGGAAAACCAAGATACAGTATTTATTTTTCTTTTTGTTCTCTTAGCACTGTCCTCAGCCTCTCGCTGTTATTTCTTGACACGTCCAGGCAGATTGTTTTTCTTACTTTGAGCCTTGACTACTTAGCTGTGAGTTGACAGGATTTGGTTGAAACTGTAGTTGTGCAGTTTAACTTTGATGACTTAAGTAGTCTAACATGCCACTTCTGCTCACTTGTGTGTTATAGAGGGGCGGACTTCTGAGCTTCTCTCAAAGTATAAATTCTTCCAAGCAAACTAAATTTTTTTCTTGTTCTCGACTTCTTAAGAACAAGTAGAAATTTCATAGTTCTGTAGCTGGCTTTATTAGCAGAGAGGCTCGCCAAAATGGCCACTGTCTTCTCAATCTCAGTGCTAATTTTTAATTGTTAAAAAAATATCAACAACAAAGATGGGATGAGCTAGTCTTTGTGGGGTCCACAAGACAAAACACCTTTGCCACTCCCTATTGGCCAATATTTTCTATGTATATTCAATTCAATTGAGTTTATTTCTATAGTGCCAATTCACAACACATGTCATCTCCAGGTAGCTTACTGTTCACCAGATCATACAGTCAAATTGATTCAAAGTTTTCTATCTAAGGAAAACCAGTTGTTTCCATCGACTCAAATGCAATCTCTCACACTAAACATGCTTGTAGCGACAGTGGAGAGGAAAAACTCCCTTTTAACAGGAAGAAACCTCCAGCAGAACCAGGCTCAGTGTGAGCGGCCATCTGCTGAGGCCGACTGGGGTTCAAGGAGAGAGAAGCAGAGATACAAAAAGCAGCTGTAAAAGGCGACCCCGTCCAGGAAACGCATAGCCAGGCAATATCACAATATATTGCAATTTTCTACCCATCTGATATCAAATTTAAATGTAAAAATAAAAAGGCAATATCTGTACATTATAAGTTCATCAGAAGATATTGATAGTTCATTTATTATGTTGTTTTGTTAGCCACGTTGTTTGGGGTTTAAGTCAGTCTGTGTCGGCCATTGTGGCAGAAATGGCGGCAAAGCACAGCAAAAGGTCCATGGCACCATTTACAGGAGCAGTGGTGCAGAAGTAGTGCATTTCCCCCCGACTTTTTTATTGAAAAAAGTATTTTCTTTTTAAATCAATATTAGAAGCTGAAAGATTGATATTATATCGGGTGGCTTAAAATCTCGATATATCACCAAATTGATTTTTTTCCCATACCACTATTCCCTACTTTGCCCCACAATTCTGGTCCAACCACTTAAGGTAAACACAGCCTAGATGGATCTCAGCTTTCACATTCTGAGTCACTAAAAAATTTCCAGAACTTAATTTTCCCGTAAACCAGAATGACTTGCTTCAGAAAAATTGTTTTTCATTTTTATTACCCCTTACCGACTGTAATTTCTCATTTTAACCTGCATCTTGCCAATTTTTTTTTTTTATTTAGGTGGAAAACCAACCAATCATTGACAGTTCAAACTCCAAGAAATAATAAGGGGTTCAGAGCTTGTTTAATGTTGCTTTTGTCTGCTTTTTTGACAGATCGCTCGGGCCTGACTTGTGTGGACAAGATAGAGAAATGTCAGGAGACTTACCTGCTGGCGTTCGAGCACTACATCAACTACCGCAAGCACAACATTCCCCACTTCTGGCCCAAGCTCCTGATGAAGGTGACTGACCTGCGGATGATCGGGGCATGCCACGCCAGCCGCTTCCTTCACATGAAGGTGGAGTGTCCCAACGAACTCTTCCCGCCGCTTTTTCTCGAGGTGTTTGAGGACCAGGAAGTGTGACACACGGAGTCGCTGCCATTACCTATGGGAAACAGAAAACGGGAGATGGGCAAAAGCCTCGGAGACACAGGAAGAGTCTCACTGGCGGGAATTTGTGTTTCTTCAACATCAAATTCACAGTTTGTGGTTTAAGAAAAACTGGTCGTAACACGAAAAAAAAATAAACCCACACACACCAGCATAAGGAGAACGGAATTAATGCTCCTCCTTCTCTTTTTCTACACCTTCTCCTGTTTAAGAATCGGTGTGGGGGCCCTTCTGTCTGAGCAGCATCTTTCATCCAGAAAGAGTTTTTGCCATTTGCCAAGACACATCCAAAAAACACACGACAACACTCACACTCAGAGCCACAGTTTCTTTCACCTCAGTTCTTCAGGGCAGCGTTGTTTGTGGGGGTCGGGTTCCCCTCCTTGTTTCCTTTTTTTTTTTTTTGTATGCTTCTTGCAGTGCTCACATTTGAAGCAGCTTCTGAGCTGATCAGGACCCTTACAGTATTATTTCTGAAAAAAGTGTTAAAACAGTCATTCAGAAAAAAAAGGGGGGAATGTCGATGCTATTTTACACATTCTTGTAGGCAATCAGCGAACACTGCAAGCAGAAACAATTTTTTTTTTCTTTTCTCCCCCCCACATTTTGCTGGTGTGCAACGGCGCCGATGGAAGCAAACGCTACCAGACTGGGCAGCCTGTTACTCAACTCAATCTGAGCCGTTACTGCTGTTGTTGTTGTTTTGTGATGGAGCTGCTCCTCATCCCACTGAAACTGGTGCTGTATTTATCTAAAAAAGGCTAGTTCAGTTTGATTCAATGAAATCTACTGTCAGCCTTTAAACAGGAGGCAGACTGCAGCTCCATATCTACCTTCTTTTTTTATTTTATTTTTTGTCATCGGACCTACTCCTGTGACTCAGACACACAGACATGTGCAGGCAGTCCCTCTCACTGCCTATGCAGCTTTCATACCGTTGTATGAATTACAATAAAGCGCTTCTCTCTCTGAGGAGTTACCACTCTGAAAGAAGGAAAGGGAAAACGAGACATCAGGAAGAGGGCATTCCCTTTGAGAAGCATATAATAGGGGAGCGGAGACAGGAAGAGGAAGTGTGATGTAATACCCAGACTGGGGTCAGAAGTAAATCTTCTACACCCCGTCTTCCTGTCTCGCTCTTCATCTCACACATATTTACATGGAAACATACAACCTCACCTCAGTGTAACATGAATGCCTCATTTTACTGTACACACTGCACTGTGGTGTCAATATAAAGCCCTAACCTGTAGGGTTTCTACAGGGAGAGTCCTCTCCTCATGGACTCAGCTCAGCGTGGCCCCTCCAGGCTTACATACACACTTGCCTTTTTTTAGAAAAAAATTAAAAAGAGAAAAAAAAAAGTGAAAGAAAAAAAAATGTATGGGAGTCACTGAGAGCAGGTGAAAAGGCCAAGAAGGCTACCATTTACCTCAAAAAAGCGGACACACCCCACTGTGTCAGGCACTACCTCACCTCTGTGGACACAGGGCAGCTGCCCACAGCCAGACATACACCATTCAAGTAGTTGCATATGCAGACTTATATAAAGACGTGCATTTTTTTTTTTTTTTTTTTTGCCTAACAGCACAAAAAAAACACTCACAGAACACATACAGACACACATTCAACTCTCTCACTTGGTTCAAATGAAAAACCATTCAAAAAGACAGGAGGGCCGACCACCCTTCTCCATCCTGCAGGGGGAGTGGTACCAATGACATGCGGATCATCTCTTCTGTTATATGGGACCAAGCATCATCCATTTCTGTAAAAACAGGAAGTGACTTATAGAAGCAGGAAGTGAACGGCGGGCACCCCGGTTTGACCGTTTCAGAGAACAAGCCAGAGCGACAGACGAGACTCGGCCCCAGAACAACGCGCACCCCCCAATGAATTGGCATGCAGAGAACAACCATCTCCATACTATCACAGCTCGTCCTGTAATATCTGCAACTGGATATTGATGAATAGAAGATTTCTCTGAATATTGGGCAGCAGTTAGATTGGCAATCATGTGGAAAAAGAAAGCTTGCTTCACTGTCACTGCTAAATAATGCATACTAACCATTCAGATATTAGAAAAGCTTTAAAAACTTTAAAGTTTTAAAATCACTTAAATTTCAGCTATTAAAAAAAACAAGACAAATTCATCATATAAACACACTGAAGACTCCAGGTTAAGTTTTTCCCTTTTACTTTTCCCCTATTTTGTTCTCTTTATATTTTATATCATCGCTCCCAACTACCTTTAGGTTTCTGTAAACAATCATCTCATGTGTGAGGTAGATAAATTCTAAAATTAAAGATCTTTAAAATCTAAAGATACTGTTATTTTTTTATGTTGTCAAATTTTATATAAATCTATTTAATTAAATCTTTACAGTGACCAGCACAAATGTTCCTTTTTATCGATATATAATGCCACCGTAGAATGATGGACTATATTTTAGTGTTTTAAAGTGTTTTAAAGGATCATTGTTGATGTCTTTCGACCTTAAAACCATGTTAGATCGTTAATGTTTGACATCCTACCAGCAAAACACAAAATCTCTCGATTTGAGGACGCTCATCATCATTTTTCTTTAATTCTAGTTGGACATGGGGTGCACTTTAATTTTCCCATGATTGTCATTAAATATTTTATATGCTTCCCAGTTTTCATCACTATACCAGTTAAATGTAAAACATCCATGGCAGACATCATACAAGAGGCAGCTGGATGACTCTTGAAGCCCACTCTGTTTCTTCAGTTCTGGGCCCAATCCAAATCCGGGTTTCCCCTCCTACTCAACACCAGGCAGCGCTCCTGTGCAGAATGGATAACTAACAGACGAATAAGTATCCAACATGAAGAGAAGAAGAGGACCTGGAAGCACTTCACCTCCTCCTGGGATTCTTCACCTCTCCTGCTCTGCCATCCTCATGGCTTTTCCTGGAGCTCAGCTCAAGCCACCATTATGACCCCATTCAGCCTGGCTAGTGGGAGTTTTTGCACTACTGCAGCAGTCCTCACTTTCACCCCCTTTTCTTGAAAGTTTTGCTTGTACACATTTGTCGGCCCAACTCGTCCTAGATGGGAATCCTTGACCACTCTGTATAACAGAGGCTGACGGCCACAGTTCAGTCAGTCCCAAACCTACCCTGTAGTCGGCATCGCACCGAAGGGTGGAGAGAGACCCCTGCATGGGAGGGATTGGAGGGCTGCGTAGCACTTATCCCCTTCTAGTAATCATGATCCTAGCATTTCAGATATGCCCCCCTCAAGTTGTTTTTCCCTCCTCCTTTTTTTTAAATCCTTGCTTTTGCCCCTCGAGTTTGGAATCACTGACACCAATCAAAACCGTGGCCTCTTCACCTTGTGAAACAAGGCAGGCCACTACCCCTTTCAGAGACCACCACCGATTGAATGTGAACAGCAATGCAGCAGAGACGAGAACGAGAGGAGAAAATGTAAGGAATCAAAAATGCCATTACTAGCTCGGATTACGTGTGAATTGTGCCCAATGGACAGGGAAATGTTGGAATATGCAATGTCCCCCTACTTTATAGGAGGCCCCTATTTGCAGACACCCCCCCACCCCCCCCCCCCCCCCCCCAAAGAGAGGACTTTTAAAAAAAAAAAAAGACTCCTTAACCGAAATATTGGAGATTTTCCTTTTCTTTGTTTTCGTATATTTCTTTGTGTTTTGATGCTTTAACTGCTCTGTGTAAAAGAGAGAGGAAAAAGAAAACAGCTGTAGTCACTTTTTGACCGTGTGTGCAGTGTAAAATTGGAGAACTTTCACTTCTTTTGCTCACATCTGTCTTTTGTGTTGAGAAGCCAACTGATGTGTTTTGTCTTGTGTCTCTCCAGTTGCCCATCCCCTTTTATCAGGAGGAACTTAAAACCAACAAAACAGGAACAGCTTCTTTTTTTTTTTTTTTTACATATGTATATTTCTCTTTTTTATTAAAATACAACAGAAAATAATGCAACCTTAAACTGAAAAAAAAAAAAAAAAAACTGAAACACAATCCTGTCATACCTCATGCAACACAAAACTCAAAATAACTCGGGAGGCATATTTTGCAGGATAATGTAAAACTGTTGGGCTTGTGTGTACGCAACCGTTCAGTTCAGCTCAATAAATTAAAAATAATTGAAAAGTTAATTTACTTAGTAATTCAGCTAAGAAGAGAAATCCATATATAGAAATTGTTGCACACTGCGAGATATTTTAATGATCTATTTTTTTTTTTATAACTGTTGCTTAAGGCAAAAAAGAAAAAAGATAGAAAAAGAATATATATATATATATATATATATATAGATACTATTTTACCAGTCGGCCTCGGCAGATGGCTGCTCACACTGAGCCTGGTTCTGCTGGAGGTTTCTTCCTGTTAAAAGGGAGTGTTTCCTCTCCACTGTCGCTACAAGCATGCTTAGTGTGAGGGATTTCATTTAAGTCAATGCAATCAACTGGTTTTCCTTAGATAGAAAACTTTGAATCAATTTGGCTGTATGATCTGGTTGAACTGTAAAGTGCCTTGAGATGACATGTGTTGTGAATTGGCAATATAGAAATAAACCAATTTGAATTGAATTGAAATTTGAGAGCCAAAAGTTTTATTTAACTATTGTTACCCTTTCCAGGTAGGCAATAAAAAGTTCTACTGGATTCATTTTGTATTGCAGCAGCTTGACAAAGCCATGATGGCAATTATTTAACATCCAAGTAGTATGCAGTTCTTTATATATATATATATACACACAGACATCAATTTCAAACAGATGGTATCGGTATGGTATGGGTATCGGCCAATACTGCACAGCCAGGTATCGGTCGTCGGTATCGAGGCCAAAAAAAGGCATCGGCGCAACACTAATATATACGATAGGAGCCGTTAAAATCATGTTATGCCCTATATAATCATGGGGGAAAGGAAGGTCCTGTGGCAAGGAGCCTTGAGCGGGACAAACAAAAACTCAACCAAACACCCCCTGAGAAAGAAAAATGATTAACTTTTATGTCTTTCACCCTACTTGGCAAGTGGCGCCACCCTGTTCAATGCCCTGGCCACCCCACTGGCCATGTGTAAACTGTAGATGCATCAGATTAGAATTTCATCCCATTATGCACAGCCAGCGACGTCACATTAAAAATCCTACAATAAACCAAGATATGAGTAGGTGTACAGGATTTTATGATTTCTAAAGGCAGGTTTACTACAATATATGGCTTTTAGTTTCAGTGTGCCACCCCAAGATTTTTTTAGTGGTCCCATCTGGCCTCCCCTAAGCAACCTTTCTGGAGGTGCCACTGCCTCTGGCACAAAGGTAAGGCAAGTTTATTTAGCACATTTTCATTACAAAATGTTGAATGAGAGACCTACCGATGTTAGTTTTTGATGAGGTCACATCCTGGCTAAGCCTTCAGGAGCAATCAGAGGCAGTAAGCCCTTCTAAACCTGAGTAGGGCACTAAATTGGCATTTTTAGACACATTGTACAGTAAGTTGTCTAAAAAACACCCGGGACATTTTGAGAACACTGTAAGAGATCTATTTATACACTTTATCAGCAAAAAAAACTTGATTTAGTAGCAAATGATCCTTTAATTTACTCCTAAATCAACTTTTTTAGCTGATAAAGTTGATTCAGGAGTAAATGATCCTTTAATATTTTGCTACATCCACACAGATAGAGGCAACATGCACAGAAAGGTTCTGGAGGAAAAATATAAAACCAGATTCAGCACGAAGAGCTGTAAAAGGCTTTGTTTTATCTACACCACGCTATTCAGGGGTGCAGTAATACCGCCACAGAAGTAAAGAAGGTAGGAGAGCAGGAAGAGGACAATAAACCCAGGAATGAGAAAGGAGGCGTTGTTTTAAATTTGCACGTGTGCTGAGGGAGAGGCGAGTCCCGCCTTGGATGGCATGTGGAAACACACCAGTTTAAAGCCAATTACGCGGATAGGGGTTTTCCCACACTGAGTCTGTACATGCAGGCATTTGCTACACACTTTTTCAGCCTCTTGGGATATGGTCGTCTTCGTCCACGTTCATTCTGAGCGGGACCTCCGTCACTTGAAGTATATATTTAAAGCCTTTTTTCTGTAGACTATGGAGGATAAAAAGTGCCAAAATTAAATAAATAAATAAATACAGCATTAAATAAATAATTAAATGTGTCAATAATTAATTAAATGTAGAATTAAATAAATAAATGTGTCATTCATTAATTAAAACCACGTCACTAATATAAAGTGCCACATTTAAATAAATACAGCGATAAACAGTTAATTAAATGTGTAATTCATTAAATAAATAAGGAATTAAATATATAAATGAGTCATTAATTTAATAAAATACGTCTT